ACCCTGAAAAGAATAGGGGTGAATGCTATACCAGCAATTGAGGAGGTCAATATTTTTAAGGAGGATGTAGTAATCCAGTTCACTAACCCTAAAGGTACCCATGATGTAGACAATCGGTTTTTTGTTCCAATTGACTTCTTTTGGTCCTTCAAGTTCAACCTTCTATTGACTTCTTATCTTTTGTTATTCAGTTCAAGCATCTATTGCTGCCAACACTTGGGTGGTTAGTGGTTCTCCTCAGACCAAGAGTATGTTCTCTTCTTGAAAACACAAGTTTTTTTTTTTTTCAGTTGCATGACAGTCATTGACATATAGTGCAATATATGTCCTTATTTTAGTTGTGTAAATATACTTCTTTTGAATTTTATTTTAGACTGAGATGCTGTTTAGAAATATTTATATTAATGATTATGAAAAAACCAGATAATGTTACGAATTTGATATTAACCCATTTCAAGACATATAAGGGCTGTAACCATATTTCGACTTTTGGTCGATCCATAGATTTTTGATTGAAAATGAATAAGCAGATTGGCCTCAATTATAGCTTATTTCTTTTGTATTTGGGTATTTAAGCTACTAGCTAAACTTTCCTCAATTTTTTTTTTCTTTTTTCTTTGGTAAAGAATGGATGGGAAGGTTGATTGCCTATTTATGTTTTCTGCTGTACTGTTACTTCTATCAATTTTAACTGACATTCTATTTGATTCCGTTTCAGAATTGCAAGATGTTCTTCCTCAAATCATTCACCAATTAGGTTTGCTTTCTGCCTTCTTTACTTCTAATAGTTGTTTGGTTAGGCTAATTGGGAAAAGAATCTTGATTGTCTAAAGGTTTCTCCTGAAAACTTCAGGTCCAGATAACTTGGAGAATTTGAAGAAATTGGCAGAGCAGTTCAAAAATCAGATGCCTGGTGCAGCTGCTGGTGCAGCTGCGGCTGAAGAACAAGATGATGATGATGTACCAGACCTTGTAGATGGCGAGACCTTTGAGGCTGCCGCAGAGGAGGTTCATGTTCATGATCATGATCATGACCATGATCACGGTCACGATCATGTTCACAATCATG